CACATCCACAAACACACAATCACAAACACACAGCCACAAACACACAACCTACTACTGTTAGTACTACTACCACTACCACTACTACTATTAATAATTGTAGTATATAATTAGTGTTTTTACAATTATAGTAATAACAATAATACTACTATTATTACTAGTACTAGTACTAGTACTACTACTACTGTAGCACTGTAGTAGTAGTAGTAGAAGTAGAAGTAGTGGTAGTAGTAGTAGTAGTGGTAGTAGTGGTAGTAGTAGTCGTAGTAGTAGTAGTAGTAGTACCACCACTACTCCTACTACGGCCCCGGAAGTTTCCAAGGTTCGGGCCCCGAAGGTCGGGCCCCGATCTGTGCGCTGCTATTTCTACTACTACCGGAGCTACTACTGCTGCTACTACTGCTCGGGCCCCGGAAGTTTCCCAGCTTTGGGCCGCCCAGTACGACTACTACTGAAATGATCTGAGTTGTATTATTAGTTGGGCACAGGTCTCCTGATGAAAGCATTCGCTTCGGACAAAACAGTAAGACTTGGCGCTGAAGGACTTGTGCTATGGGCTGAAATACACAACGAGGGTGATGTCAACGTGGCTGTTTTGAAATGTCATGGTGGGGATCACTCGAAGTAAAGTAAGGATATAAATAGTTTAAATATACATTTAAATATATCCAATATATTAATATTGATATTTAATATGTTTTTATTGGTATTCCTACGCTGGGCTCGGAGCACTGTGAGCTGCCGGTCAATGGTCAGCTCGGTGCTGAACGCGCAACTGACAAGAGCATGATGCGAATAGTCGACCAATGAAAGTATTTCCTTTCAGTCAATCCTTATTCGGCAGAATTCTTTACGATGCGTGATTTAGGCCAGGAAACACTCTTACATCATTCACTGTACAAGCCTGGGCAGGATCAGAGATCGATGGTCAAATTTCCTTTACAACCTTTAAGAAAATGCAATTCAAAATAACGATTTTGAATTTGCCAAACCAGAAAACGTCAACAAGTTCAATCTTGCCACACTCGATGCTGGATCCTTTTCCAAGCCCTGCAGTTTTTGGCTCGAAAAGTTTCGCTGCAACGGGAATGCTACATTGATTGTTGGTCGAACTCTGAGCTTAGGTTTAGGTGGTGGAAGGTGGGTGACAACTCGGCCAATTGTCAAATTGACAAGACTTGAATGTCTTTCCACTGTTTACAATTCAATACTAAAATGACAATGGCAAGCTTGCGAATTGAAACCTTCACTGTTTATTTGCAAAATCAACAACAGGTTCGATCCATTTGATGTGAATCCTTTTCAGAGCAGTATCTCTTGAGAGTAACCGTTGGAGTCTGGAACTTCTCTGCCCTTACTTACATTTTACGTCGAACGTCACCCCTAGCCTGTGCCACTGCCTTGATCAACGATCCAAGTTGTGCTTCTATACTCTCATGTTCCTCCAACAAGGCACTGGCCAAGTTCTCCCTATGGAGGGGTTTCCGCGACGCTGGCACCCGTTTTAAACGGGCCCCAAAGAGAAGACCACCGGTCAGGGCATCGTTGGTTGCTTCACTCGCATTTGGCCGCTGAGTGCTTTACTCATTCTGGTTGTTCAGCACCAACCAAGCCCAAGCTAGATTGATTTAAGTCGAGTGTACGTACGCATTGTCCGAATCATGCAAGAAAGCGAGTCAACATGCAGGTCATGATATATCAATGAAAACGTGCAAATGGCAACAATTCTAAAGCTTGAATATATATATATATATAGATCTCAACTCAACATGACCCACATCTGAGTGCCAATGGCTTTCACTAGCTGCATGGTCTTCCACACCCCTGGCAGCACAACATTCCTATTCAAACTCTTGAGCGATCAGACCAAAGAGCACTGCGTGAGAGGATTTCGAGGGAGAACATCGACACAACACCGACAACAATAGTCGCCCTCGCCTGGGGCATTTGGAAGTCCTCGCGCAGGAGCACTTCCACACGCGACTGCAAGAGGGCCTTCGCCCTCTCGGAGGCTCGGAGCTGTTCGCTTTGCGCCTCACCGGCCGCGGCCGCGGACGTAGCTCAGGCGACAACATGTGACAACATGTCACATGGAATATATGTATATATATATAGTATATAGTATATGTATACGGTTTTTTTTACATATACACAGTATACGCACTCTTTCCATCTTTCCCCCTACTCCCATTTCAGCCTCCTACTTGTCTCTTCTCCTTTTAGTGTGAACCTGTAGGTTTGGAGAACAACGTCAAAAGTTCCACACTTGCTGTGAACCTGCAGCTCGGACTTCAACTGTTCCTGAGACAGCTTGCCAAAAAAGGAAAAAGGCACTTTTTAGGGGTGTCCTTACCTTCTTCTTTTCCTTCAAAGGCTGTTCGAAGGGCTTGACACTATATCCAAGGCCATGACCTACGGATTGTCTCTGAGCAAGTTCACATCAGTTTTTCTGGGTATCCAACAACTGTTTCTTCCGCTTGGCGACTGCGCTGTCCTGCAAGTCCACCGGTCCATGCCCGAAGCGAGGCAAACTCACACCGAGATGAGTATGCAGTAGGCCAGTGTTTTTGACTTGGTTAGCCTCACGGCCTTGGCTCCAATCGTCCTTGTTCTCGCAGGCGCTCCGACATGATGCGCAGCGCGCGCACAATTACTCTGTTTGCACCTGGTGCTCAAGCAAGGCCTTGGCTTGTGTAGTGCAAAAACACTCCAGCTCGAGCCTTGCAGAGATTGCAGTCGGGCCTCGAGGAAATCTGATGAAACATCAAGAGTCCGTGCATATGGGGAAGCCCTGGGGAACTCACCAGTAGCTCATTCACACCTGCAAGAAGCACACGTCATTTGCAAGACAACTCTTGAACTTTCATAGTTTTATTGCTGTGGCTCCTCTATATGACGAATTGGCAACAATTCCAATCTCTATGCTAAGAAATCCCCCACCCCAGCACAAGCGGATGCAATTGTTGAAAAGGTTGGAATTTCTCGTCATCCACTACAAGGTAGTTGTGACACGCAAGGGACCGCAATGCCTGCAGCTTGCACTTCCTGTGCTTCTTGCGCGGGAACTGCTTTTGCTGGCACACGTGGCCGCAGCAGCTGCCTCGGGCCGCAGCGCACTTCAAAGAGTGACAGCACAAAGGTCGCTGTATGCTATGAGGTGCAAGGAAATGTTTATCTGCGGTTCCAAAATTAATCATCTCAGGCAAGCACTGACTATGCTCTTGATGGAATGCAGTCATCCTAAGTGCAGAAAAGAGAGAGAGAGAGAGAGCGAGAGATAGAGAAAAACAAATGTGAGCAACTTGACGAGGATAAACCTCCCACAATGGCTGCTTTTGACTCCAAACGTTTGTCGAGCCAAGCATCATTTCAGCACAGGTAGCGCGACCCTCGTCCAAGGATTGGCATCCTCCAAACGAAGGGATGCTCCAAGCTCACCGGGAATAACTGTTCAAACCGCAGTCTCCAAAGGTCCACTGTTCATCATCAATGGATGTTGCAAAACACATCCCTGAACGTCCAAAAGAATGAACAAAGTGGACGCGGACCCAACCTTGAAGCCGCCTCAGGAGCTCATCGGCATAAAGCCCACTTGCCGCCGCTGTGGAGGCGTAGGGCGACTGCAGGCCTGCGCTGCACCAACCAACTGGCGACCTTTCGTCTGGTAATAAACAAGAAAAGTGCTTGCCTGAGGCCAGCTGTCCAGCATAGCTAGCAATCGGCATCATCACTTGCCTCGGCCAGCATTCGATTGCGTTGTGCTTAATATGAGAGAGAGAGAGAGAAAGATTGACCCACAAAAGCAGCAAGCAGTGAGATGGACACAGCCCCTTAAACAAAAAGCAAATGCATCTGAGTACATCACGCGAGAGCATCCCTCTCTTCATGGAGGTGACACCTTGGCTCACTTCAGAGTGCTCGCCCCACATCTTCCATCGGAAGCTCAGCATCGTGTGCGAGAACTGGAAAAGCAAAAAAAACATCTGCGAGCTCGAGTTCAAATTAAATCGACTTCTCCGAAGCAGGGGAGAGGGAGTAGAAACTGCTCTTCTAGAAAATTTGCTCTCATCATGAAAACGAAACAGCCAACATGTTCCATGCCTGCAGTTCGGGCTTCTGTGTGGAAAGAAATGATTGGAATAATGTATATTTGAAACATACAAGTTATGACATAATGACTACATAGGAAGATGTGCCATTCTCCTTAAAATAGTGTCACACTTCCGTTCCCGCGAGCTGTCTTCAGTGCCAAAGTTTAGGGACTTGCATTGCGGGCTTGTCTTCAAAATTTTTAAAACCCAAACCATTAAACCTCAACCCAGCTCATCCGGGCTAGACTCTTGGTGGCTTTCACATGCTTTTACTGACCTAAGAGCAGGGCTCACCCAGCAGCTGTGAGAGCTGATCAACATCTTGGGCCTCAAACGTTGTTTCAAGCAAGGGCAATCTCATGGCAACTGTTGATTATGTTGGACATGGAGCGGATAGTGTGCCACAGATCGAATGCACATGATTTCAAACACCCTAGGTTGCTTCCCTTAAGGCTCCGGCGAAAAGGGCAACGTCCATGTCTGGACCTCATTGTTTTATTGTTGTTTTAACGGACAAGCGAGTGAGCTCTCAATAACAAAGGTTTCGCTCGCCAGAGCCCTCGTCAGCATGGTCAAGCTAGTCAACTGGTCAATGGGTCCAGAAACTAGGTAGCCAAGGCACTATGCCTCGAAGCTGTGAACTTCTTTAGCCGACACTGCTGCGGGGTTAGTCAGTGCAAAATCGCCAAAGCTCGTCGCAGAAGCTCTTGTTGAAGAGTCCCAATAATACAATGAAAGGGATAAAGTGCAAAGACAAAACAGCTCACACAAGCTGCAGCAGCAGAGCTTGTTTTGCAAACCCTTCAAGCAAATGGAAGATATAGGATGATACAGCTCTAAAAATATCTGCTTGGAGGAGTCAAATGACTCTTTGCCACTCAACCTGTCGATGAATGGTTCCATCCTTGGCTACAGACTCATGTGGACATTTTGGCCGCTAGGGCCGCTAGCGTCGCCATTTTGACTGATGAACAAGGCTCTGCTTCCTCCTTAAACTCTGTGACGTCCACCTCCCCAGATTTAATAAAGTTCTCCGGCCTCACGACCACATCTCCAGGCATATCTGACAAATCAAATCTCATACGACTTGGAATCCTAGGAAATGAGGAAACTGAAATCGCGCTAAATCTCAGGCGTCGCACTTAAGCTTCGGCAAAAAGCGCTGGTTCAGCGGGTCTCCAATCTGCCGGTCAAGCATGAAGAACCCCCTGGCAGGCTCTCACGTGCTCTTGACGGGTCGGAAACTGCCTCAAGGGGACGTCGCACAATCCAGTTCAAGAACAGATTGACAATTCCGAAGCCTTCTGCTAAGATCGTTCTGTTGGAGCACCACATGAAGCAACTCCAAGGATTTGGGTAGTGCCTTCGGCCGACATCTTCTCAAAAGAGCGAGACACGAGATCTTTCTTCCGCTTTACCTTCGCAGATCCTTCTGGTCTGGCCCAGCCTTGGAGATGAGATCCATCCCGTCATCTCCGATTTTGTTCCCGAAGAGATCCAATGATAGATCTTTCACCTCATTGCATCTGCAATGGCATCTGCAATCATTCCCATCACCGGATGGAAATCACATCTTTCAAATGCATCTGACCATCGGCAAATTCGGGGCCTGTGGCGGAATCGCTTCTGCCAGTGCAGCTGCGCCAGCTGCTCCTCAAACTCTACAAGATCACATCTTGACATATCTCGACCAATGTTTTGATGCGCTGAGGTTCAAAAGTCACGTTTTTGCATAAACAGTTTCTAGCAAAATCGCAACACACTGGGCACGAAGCCCATCTTCATGCCAGAAAATCCCAAGCTAAGTACCTCCAGGGGGGCAATCGGCTGGATCGGCGAAGGGGTCAAGTAATCGAAAAACTCTACTTCCAACCGCATGTCCAGGCCTCAACAGATTTTGGGATCGACGCAGCAATGGCTTTGACCTGAAGTCTGAGACAACAGTCAAAATTTGACGCAGCGGATGCATCTTTGAATGGTAAGAAGTAGGGACTGAGTGGCAGAATCAGCTTAAGCCTCCAACCCCTGCCAGCGTCAAGCGATTCCGGGACAGGTTCAACTTCAGCACCTACCCGTACGGAGGCCATACCAGGGATCTGCAAAGACAAATGAAAGCCTCCACCCTAGTAGCGATGGCCTCCAACCTAATAGCGATGGCCTCCAATCTAATGACGATGAAAGGTCTCAACAGCCTTCAAGTTCTTTGGAATCTTGCTTGCCAAGGCCTCACAACGAGCTTTGAGGTGTTCTAGGTGTCAACTGCAACATGTTGTGCCTTGACGCCCTCCGGTCCAATACCATTGCCGGTGATGTCCAGCTCAAGTGCCTTCTTGAAGACTGTGTCGAAGGCACGGCAAAACTATCAAAGAGTGACAAACCGTCAAAAAAGGTGCAATTTGCTAGCAGTACAATGTAGTAAACATTTGCTTGCCAAGCTCCTCACCTCTAACTTGGGACTGATGACCTGCAAAGTGAAACAGCAGTTCACCTATCTTCAGGTCTACTTGGCCTCACGCCTGCGCCAAGGTCTTTGCTCCAGCGGGGCCAAGTCCATGGAAGCCAATGTTCACCACACCACTCTGTCAGGCATTGCAGTCAGGCATTGCAGTCAGGCATTGCAGGGAACATGCAGAGTCCATAGTGCACGGCCAGTGCACTATAAGAAAACACTAGAAAATACAACACAGCAACAAGCGACTCTCAACACAATTGGCTCTTCAAGAGTTCAAATTTCTAACACATCGAATCCTTTCCTTTTTATGAACCTGGCACAGCGGAATTAGAATGAATTGTCCTTCGGAGGGGTCCTAACTATGAATGAATTTCAAGGATCTCTGATCCAAGAGTCTTTGCCAAGGTGGTGGAAGAATTGACACCAAAGAAGCAACAACTTTGCAAATCAAGCACCGAGGAAAATGAAAGTGGCACAAAGCAATTGCAAGGAAATCTTGTTCACGCACATTCCACATCTTGGCCAGTTCGCCTCTTGCACTAGGTTTGGGCAACAAGCTCATGGACTGTCAGTGTCCAGAAACACTTCCTTCAGGATCCATGAAGGATTGCCTTGGGCACCCTTTACGCACGAAAAGAATGACATTCTAAATCTATCCAAATCTGATAAATTCCTGGTGAGACTTCCCTGTCAAGGTTTTGTACCTTCTGGGGTCCGCCACCCCTTTGGATCCTTCAGCTTGGTTCCAGCACCACCAAGAAATTCCAAGACAAGGTTCGGCAGCACTGCTCCACAGTGACCTCCGGCCCTAGGCGCGGCACGATGAGATCTCCGTGTTGTAAAGATGCCAAATCATCTAAAATCAATCGTTGAGGCTCGGTGCCTTCCCTCACCCGCCAAAGGCCTTTGGATGTGAGGCATAGAAGCCAAAAGACACCACCCTCAGAGGCAATGCAGAAGTGGTCTCTATCCACCATGTTTGTTAGGCTCTTCTCCAAGAAAGGCTGATGCCTGGAGCCTACCAGTAGAGGCTTTCCAGCTAAAGACACTGGGCCTATCCGATTCTCGGGCACTTTCTCACCCCAAATCTCCAAGCAGACAACTGGAGGAGCATTGACATTCGCATTTCCACTTTCAGCCTCTCTGACCTGAACATGTCCGCTTTCCACCCATGCTGCACCCACACTTCGCTCTCTTGTGCGACGTGTGCCCCTTGCAGAGTAGGCATATGGGCTCGAAGGAAGGGCCCTATGACCCATCACTGGCGTAGGAGGGACCAGGCTACCTGTGTAGCTACGAACTACCTGGCCAGGTTGGCTTTTCACATTGTCATGGAATTTGAATCTAATCAACAGCTGCTTACCGTACAAAAGCCCAATCTCTGCCCCATGCCGCAGTGAGTAGGCCGTCTTTGGGGTCACTGCCTGGCCATCCAAGGCGACTGGACCGCTGCCTTGAGCTGTAAGCCACGGGCTGTAGTCACCATCCCGCCATGCCACCTCAAAGGCATTGCGAGAAACACAAGTGCGCATCTTTCCATCCGGCAGCCAAGCTTCAAAGAGCTCTGGTTGCTGCCCACGACCCACAGCTACGACGAAGGCACCGCCTTCCATCCTCAGAGGCTTCAAGGGCAAACGCCGCTGCTCATCTGAGAGCTCAAAGCTTCCAGTTGCCAGCGTAACCTCCAAGAAGTAAGGTGAATCCAAGTTGTAAATCACTGGACTTACTTGACTGGACTCGCAGTGACTGGGTGTCAATGGTGCCTTTGCTTCTTCTCGCAAAGGAAAGGGTGTCGGCACCTGTGGTGCTACAGATCTTTGTACCTTTTGCACACTCGGCTGAGTCGCTCTATGTTTGCTTGAAGCTTCAGGCTTCCGCTCCGTCTGGATGCTGGTGAAATCTTGACCAGCAGGAAACCTTTCGGAAAGAGAGCGAAGCGTTCGGACAATCTCCACCGAACTGGGTCGCTGCTTCTCATCTGTGGCATTGACTCCCCGGATTGCTAGCCGAGCAATTTCCTGAGCCAACTCCAACGGCCATGGCCCTGCTGTTTGGTCAAGGGCTTGTAAACATCTCTCCTCAGCCCCAGGAGTTCCTGGTGAGACTGCCTCTTGGATGGGATAAGTGAGGCCACTTGGTGCTTTTGAGTTGGTTGCAGAGGGGTCAAGGCCCAACAGGACTTCCAGCATCACCATGCAAAAGGAATAGGCCTCGCTTGCCTCGCTCACCCGGCCAGTGCGCTCATACACTGGACATCGATATCCAGGCGTCCCCGAGGCAAAGCGCACATCTACATGGTTGGCACCTGCATAGCTCGAGCAGCAGCTCAACCCAAAGTCTGCAAGCTTTGCTGTGCCATGGCGATCCATCAAAATGTTGGCCGACTTGATGTCTCGATGAAAGGCCTTTGGGTTGGAGTTATGGAGGTGTGACAAACCGCTGGCAGCGTCCAGGCACACGGAGACACGGTCATACCACAGGAATGGCTTGGGATTGGAGGATCGGCTTTTGTGAAGCCTTCGGAAAAGATCACCACCAGCCAGCAGCTCGTAGACTAAGTACCGGAAATCTCCGTGGCTGCCCCAGCCCAGGAGCGTCACTAAGTTGGGATGTCGAAACTTGCTCAACATCAGTACCTCCTCATCAAAACCGGCATCTTGAGGAGAATCCCCAGCTCGAGTCACAGCAGCCAAGTCGATGGCCTTCACGGCCACTTGAGATCCATCTTTCAACTCAGCCTTGTATACAGCTCCGTGCTTGCCAGATCCTAACCTTTTGGAATGGCTCCAATTGTCTGTGGCTGCTGTCAAGTCTGAGTGTGAATACTCCAAAGAGACTGCCCTGAGTTGCGCTGAAGCTTGACCTCCTTGTGCCAATCTTGAAGACGCAGAAGCCATCCGAGCCTTTGAGGCAGCAACAGGAGTTCCAACATTTCCCACCTTCACCACTCGTGCACCAGTTCCAGCTGTGTCTCCTGCAGCAGCCGGCACTGAAATCAGCGTTGCAGCAGGATTGGCCCCAGCTCGGCGGATGGGACTTGATCCACCGGAAGCACCGGATACAACACTGGAAGTGACTGAAGTGACATTGGCCACACTGCAAGCGGTTGTCACGCTCGCAGATGTGACTGGAATTGGCTTCTTCACGGTCACTACCGTCGTAGATGGACCAGATGGACCTCGAGCGCGGAGGAGGGGACCAGCTGCGGCATCACCGCCACCAAGCGGTGCATAGGAGATGCTTGGAGCGACCAGCATCGAAGCTCCGCTGACTCCGTTGACTCCGTTGGCGAGCGATTGGCTGGATCGGCTTGATCGCAGCACTTGAATCGATGTCTGCCCGGGTCCCATCTAGACACCGGCACCAGGCCCTCCACATGGAGCCAAAATTGGCTGCAATACCAAAGCTCGATATCTGGACTCATGTCCAAAAGACTGGTGCAATGATTCGTAAGACATCTTACGACTTGTCATGGAGGCAATGTTACTGGCACCATAGAACCACTTGCACTCGGCCTGGCCAAGTAGCGCCTCAGCTCTAAGGGTGTCTCCTCGCTTGCAGGCGGCCGCCAGCTCCTGGCCATCCCAAATTTCTGCGATCTTCCCCTAATATCAGAAATGGTTGTGGTTGAATCAGGTGTTATTTTTTTGCTTCCGTCCCCAACAAGCAAAGCTCAAGATGTCTCATTGCGTGTTTGTCCTTCTCATCAGCCACAGCAACGCAAAGAGAAAAGAGAACTTATTCATCATATACATGTTTTACATGAGTTCAGTGGCTACCAATACTTGCAGGTTCCACTCCTATCTAGTGTTGACGTTGCAAAGCTACCAGTTCAGCGATTATTATCATTCGCACAGCGGAAAGAGGAGCATGATAGTTTTCCTTTCTATGAGCGCACCTTCGGCGGCAAAGCAAGCTCTTAATCCACCAAAAAAAGGCGTTTTGCCCTATCCAAAGGCCTCAGTGGTGTTGGCAGCCAGCATGTCTTTCCGCGGCACCGGCAGGCGCCGGCCTTCAAAGCTCTTTTCAAAGTCCTGCATGAATGTTTGAGAATTGGCAACTGCCCTGGCAAGTCCGACTAAAACCTCCTCCGGCACTTGTAGAAAAGCTTGTCAAAGAAAAACTTTCATGGTATCGGTACCTCACACATTCCGGTCTCCTCCCGTGCAACCAAGGGGAATTGGCTAGGAGGCGCTGGTCGCCTAGTGCCGAAGTTCCGGATGGCCTGAAAAATGCGGTGCTTCCTGAAACCGCCCATTGGATCTTGCCAAGGTCGAGGCCTGCTGTGCCGGCACTCCAAGGTAAAGGTCGATGTCCTTGATAAATCTTGACAAAGAAAAACTACTGATGTATGCTACACCACGCCTCTCCCCCAGCGAGAAGCCTCTCCATATGGTTGTGGCGCTTCGTCACCTCAGGATGTCCAATCACACCTGTTATCTGAAGGAAATCGCCTGAGCTTTTGACCAAGTTGTTCTCGGCAATGTCAGCGTACTCAACCATGGCATCCCGCACGCCCTTTGCAGACTCCTCAAAGCCATACCTTCAAAGGCTCTTTGCCGAACGTGACGTCCGAAACAGACTTTGGGCTCGCTTCAGGCCTCAAGCTACAGATCACAGAAACAGTTACACCACAAAAAGGGCTGCCTTGCCACCAATGGCTTTTGCAGCTCCAGAAGGAATGCTTCCCGTTCTTCTGCAGCTTGCAAAGCAGCGACGCTGCCTCCTGCCTTGCACCACATGTTTTACCGGGGAACAGGGAACAATCATCTTTCCAAGATGTACTCGAAAGAATGACACCATTTTGTCCAAATAGTCTCAATCTTCTGCTTCAAAGTTGAGTCTTAAAATCGGAGCGCTGGCCCAACAAACAGGTGTCATCCGCTTTTTGTCCGAAGGAAGAACGTTTACTAGCCTCATGCGTACTGGTGTCTTTACATTCACATACATTCCGGTCGCATTTGAAGCTCTTCTACAGTCGTTTCGTGTGGCAGGGCAGCACAAAATAATTGAAACGTTTTGGAAGTGCGAAAGGACTTGGAAAGGAAAAAATGCCCGTGTCCACTTGGGTCTGATCTTTTGCACTCCGTGGCAATCGCATCTTGTGGCTGCAGGTTTTTCAAAAGCACCAGCCTTGATTTTCTGGGCAAACCGTCTCAACTCAGGAGCTTTCTGCTGGTATGCCTGCCACATGGATTTCAGCAAAGCCCAGGAATGGAATGCTGAGGGTGGCTTGCTCGTTATCAGCGCACCTGGATGATTTCATCCTGTAGCTGTAATGAGCGCTCCAGCTGTGGAACCATATGAAGGAATCCAAGTCTGCAAATGCCAAGCTGTCAAAGTTGCATTGATTTGTCACGTTGCGGATTACCTCCCGCAGTTCTGAGCTCTAACTAGGTGAAACCCTGCTTTTTGCATGATTCTTTGGTTGTAGTGCATTTGCAGGTCTGAACCTTTGGTCATCTGACATAAGCAACATAAGGCAAAGTCAGAGCACTGCAGCAAACGGAGAAGGCATTGTTGATCATCTGACAAGAAGTCCAGGCACAAGCATAAGCACTGTGACAACACGGCCACAATCCCATTTTCACGGCGACCATGAGCAGCGCTCCAAAGGGAGCCGAAATCCACGATCCAGTGGTATCCAGTGCAGCATTGTCCTCTCACTCAGCGTCACTTTGGACAGCTATTCGACCGCCTGACGGGATGAACATCGCCTTTCTCAACATGTAATGCTACCTGTCTTGGCCTCGGCAAGATGTCGTTGAACCAGAAGCTCATCACCTCCAAGGAAAGTATATAGTTGCATGTCACTGCACTCAAATATGTGCTGCAGTGCCTTGCGACAATCTTGCCCAAAGCTTGGTGCCGTGATGCCACGCATAGACCTTTGACAGTTGATTCGTTCAAGGATTCCACAGGTTTGGCAAAACAAGAATCAACACCTGATTCTCTGCAGATTTGCAACGATACATTGATCAAAGTTTATGTCTGCCAAAGTACACTCAACCCGATCACCAGCGGAGATATGATCAGAATGACCTCAGAAAGTGGAGGGCTTCTTGTGAACACATGCATAATTAATAACGAAAACAGTGTTTGTTTCATGTTGGTTCTACCATATTCTAACACCCGGAAAGTTCAAAGATTCCTGGAAAGAGCAAAAACAACACTAAACTAAACTAATTGGTGGGAGTGTCTCCTTATTCCAATGCACAAAACAAATCCAGGTCACCACGGTTGCCACGTGGGTGCTGACGGTCACGGTGGATTCCAGGCTTTTGCAGCCCAATGGTGAGGTCAGCTGATTGCCATTGTGGCACACCTCAACACGAAAAAGTGTGGATTTGAGCAAGCCAAAGGACAAAGGCTTTGCTTTACAAGCACACAACCCACAAGAATCACGATGTATTGATGCGCTTGATCCCATCCAACCATATAACCTTCCATGCCGTGACCTCCTACCACGAGGAACCTCCCAGCGAACCTAGGAGGACTGAAAGCAACAGCAAAATAAACTATCGCCTCCAGAAAGTCGCCGCAGCACTTCTCACCACAGCCTTTCAAAATGAAACGGAAAAGTGCCTATCCTGTGATCCAAGAAGCAAACTTTGTCTGAGTCTAACGCGACCATCATGACAGAAACATGAACTTTGCCTATCTCACAAGAGCACAATGCACTGTGGTTGTTGCAGCCAATCACAGCACACACAGCTTCACATAGAACCTCCAGTTGCAAGAAATCACTCTGTACTGCAAAATGCATTCAGTGAGTCCATGCATTCAGTGAGTCCTTTTGCTGCAGAAGTGTCCTTTGTTCTGCCTCCTCGTTCTCGCTGATGATCCAAACCGCCAACAGCACGTTGGCCATAACCAGCGCTTGCGAAATGGCAAACAACTCAGCCACCGTATCCAATGTGTGTACAGAAATAGACAATAGACATACTTGTGCAAATCCGGCCAAGTCTGCAGTCTGCATGTCTCTGGGGGTTGAACAAGGCTTGTGCAGGAAAAGCAACACATCAGCTGCGAGCTGCTTTTCGTGGCACCAAAGTACCTGGCTGTGCTGCTGTGATCCTAAAGCTCAGCTCCGACAACAAGGCAGTGTACCCACAGCCAGGCAAGATCATGCCAAGCAGGAAGTTGACAAACCTCACGCCCCCCCAGAAAATGTCTGTTGTTCTTCATGAAAGACATTGGAAGAAAACCGCAAACATCTCCACCAAAATCTTCTGTGAAAGACCACCTCAGACTCAAACGCCCCCTGCAAATTCCGACCGGTGGATACTGCCATCAGAAGTGTCAGTACCTGGAACAATTTATAAGTTCAAGTTGCTAAAGTTGCATGTTAATGTTCGTCTATTCGATCGAGTCACTAGTCTCTATAGTTGTTTAATGCTCTAGTTACTGATTCGTTGCGTCTTTTCTGAATGAACCAAACGTTGTTGGTCTCAGATTGTTTGACGTATCTGCCGCCCCACGACCTCACAGCCAATTCCACGCTCACAACATTGTCCCAGCTCACGACATCGGTTTTTGCAGTTTTTTTCGACCTTTGGATCCTCTTTTTCGTTCTTTTTGTCCTTCGTTTCGGCTCTTTCGTTTTGTTTCGTTTTTTCTTTCTATTTCAACAATTTCCTGTAAAAAAATCCTTGCCTGCATGAGAGCCATGACTCCAGCCGCCAGCACTACACTTCTCACATGCCCTGCAGTCTCCTGCAATTCCACATCGGTCTGCAAGTTTTGCGTGTGATGTTTCAGGGAAAAATCACACTGCAAATGTCAAAGAAACAGCCTCGTCGACAAATTCATGGCCAAGCCAAAGATTTCTCCTGCTGGTATAACTGCCCCACATCTCATGGTGGTACAGAACTTCTGTGCCACAAGTTCCTTTTTTTCCCTCCTTTGGTTGCTTTCACCATCGCCCAAATGAAGGATAGCGGCAGTTCCACCATCACCCGGCATCACAAACGGCAGATGTCACATTTGCTGACAACCAATGCATGTGGAAATGGGCAGTGTTCACACAAATATATATATATATATGTAACCATTGTTTTTAACACTTTAATGAAAATTCAATCACGTCACATTGTTTTGTCGATTGGGTCAGTCGTTTGAAAGTTTTGGCACCGTTCCAAACATGCACCATATATCGATCTCAGGCATCAGCCAGGCGAAAACGCCCGGAATGCTTTGGACATTGGATGAGCCTAAAATGCACGGCCATGGGAATCTGAAAAAGAATGTTTGACATTGAAGCCGCTTCAAAAAAACGCAAGCCACTGTCCAATTTCATCGCTACACCTGCTTCACAAATTTGATGTGAGCGTGAAACACACTTATATATATATATATATATACAAATGCAAAACCAACTTTGTTCCTGTTGTGTCGGGCGGCGCAATGATGGCAGTCAAAATGTCAGGGACCAATAGTAATAGTATTGAACACTTAGGCAGCAAAAAAACAAAAACTAATGAATTGCAATGACACTTTTCAAACCCACACAGTGAAAGTTCAAAGCACAACGATATTTAGCACAAACCCAAGTCATTTGGCCCACTGAAACTGGCCAAAATCAACTTCAGTCAAACAAAAAACTAGCACTGTCAGCGCTTGATGTCCAAGAAACCTTCTATCAACAAACAGTTGTTCCGTTCAAGCACACGAACACCCAAAAAATATGACGGGCTTCAATAGAATGAACTGTCTGTTGTGGTTCCCAACTCTTGGAAATGGCTCAGTTGTTCCCGACATTAATCAACAACATGGAAACGTGGGACTGCATCGTGGATGAAGGTGACACAAATCACGTGACGCATGAACAAATGGACTTGAGAAAAGGGTGATGGACGAAAGGTTGGTGAGCAATCGAAGGTCAGCGGCAGCTGCAACAACCCCCCCAAAGCAGCAGCAGACCACAAACCAGCAGCATAAGCAGTAGCAGCAGCAGCAGCAGCATTCTTTTTGCACGAGTGGAGCCGCCGTACGTGCAGGAAATGCACAGGTCAGCTTATGCTGCTTTGGGTGAATTTCCTGTAAGTAGAAAACAACAAGCAACACGAAACAATCCAAACCACAACAACAACAACAACCCAAAAAACCCGCAACAAACCACGAACGAGAAAGAGAGGAGATTCAACTTTGCACATGCAAGGTGAGACCAAAGGTGAAACGGTGACACAACTATGATGTTGTTGTTGGGCAATTAATTATGGCAAAAAATTCGAATGGCGCAATGTAATAGCTTGCAGTCAAAACCGAGGGAGGCAGAAGGCCTGTTGTGGCAGGCCTGTGTAGTGAGCACTATTTAAAGAAGAGCTCGTGAGTTTGTCATGGTCCTTGGGTAGCTATATAGCAGTTGTAGGCTACCCTGTTGGTCTACTGCTAAGCTAGTGCACGAATGTCGAGAGGAAGCACGAATGTTGCAGGTGGCCGTGGAAAACAGTGAAGCACTCAAGCTCTAACGTGACAAGCGAAATGGAATTAAGCCTCCACTGTGGCCTGCATTCCAACTTCTTCTTGGGGGGGCGTGCAAAGTGCAAAATGGAATGGATAGAACAGTCATCAAAGGTCACTATCCACAGACATGCATGGCCCGGGTGAAACTGGTGAAACCGAAATCTATCCTAGCATGGCACCTTGTGCATTCTTTGCACAAGATTGGCTGAGTGCAGACTCCCACAGACGAAGAACTGAGCTCACTAACAGCAGGATATGGAGACGAAATTGGCAAGCAGATGATCCATACGCATTGGCCTGCAGTGGCAGGTTGGCTTTTGCTTGCATGTTGCAGGCGTGCTGGGAAGTAAGCAGGCACTCTTTCGCCGCAGAATGCACGAATCTTAAGGTATCGAAGCATCGGCGGGATGACGATTTCCCGAAGTGATGTGCAGCAGAGAAAGGCTTCCTTGCCGATTCGTTGGACCTTTGGCGGGAGCCAGATGTCGACTAGGGCAACACAGTATGCGAAGGTGGAGCCCCAAATGGCAGTTGTGTCCGTGCACATCAGGTCAACCTCAATGAGTCGCTTACAGTTCTCACACGGTTTTGGGCCGATGAAGTGGAAGTCTGGTGGAAGGCGGAGGCTTTCGATGCTAGCTCCACAGAAGCTGCCGTCTGGGAGGGCCCTTGATTTAATTTTATGGCAAAGGTAACTGACGCAAGTGCCATGGAACCATGAAGGGACATGGTTACGTCACACTCCCTAGCCGGCCAGTTGATTCTGTCCTTGGTGACTTGGATGTGTCAACTTGGGACACTTTTTTTTGCACGGGTAGGGGCGCTATGTGTGCCGAGAGGCACAAGTCACCGTGTCGAATTCACATGAGTGGTGCGTGGAAATGAGCCTGACCAAAGAGAGCAAAAGAACCAAACCCAAAAAGCCACAAAACAACCCAAAACACACACACACACACACACAAAACCACCACAGAAACCAAGCAGATCAGGCTCATGTCCGCTCTAGTCTTAAAAGGCAAAAGGTGCAGATCCGAAGACCAACACAGAAGTGAAACGGGGCGATGAATTCCTTTCAAGCCGCTCTCAGTACAGGACGTCCTGGACGAAACTGCATTCTGCTTGTTGGCAGGAAGGTATCCCACCGGAGGTGCACTGCGTATACGTGTGCATGAGCGAGACTGAAAGCAAGAGTGAAGTTCAAATCAGGTTCTTTTAAGGTCCATGCGAAGCTAGGCGCGACACAACTTGTATCAAAGAATGCGTACGCGCCAACGACCATGTGAGTATTTGCAAGGTGACCAATACTGTGTCAAGAACTCTTCACACCTGCGAGACAAAATTTCAGTCTGCTTGTGTCTTTGGCTTGGTCATTGCGCAGCCTGGGATGCCTGTCGGGGAACTAATGAGGTGCGACAGCGGGCATTGCAGCCTCGCAGCCATGTGGAGCAAAGACCCTGGACTAACGAGAGGTAGTAGGAGGTTCAATTGATTCCTGGCCTCTCACCCCAGCCCCTGCTATTATTCCACTTGACGTGCAATTGAGGCTTGCAAGGATTACAGCTAGGTCCCAAGACGGAAACCTAAGGAGGCCGCTACGAAGACATGCTAAAGACAAGCAGTGACAACGAGAGGGTAGGAGCAGCTGCAAGCAATTTACTACCTCCCCCAGCGGGGGAGGTAGGGAGCACGAGAGACCAGGTGACAGCGTCAATGAGGGATATGACACGGAACGGACCTGGTTTCACCGCAAAGCTGCACAATCCATTTCAATCTAAGCGCCAACATGAACGTCGCACAGGTGCGAGAGCAGGCGTGGTGTGGAGTTGCGCCGAAGAAGATACCGCTGCAGCCCAGGGTACACGAGTGCTTCCGAGTACGGTCTATCACGCAAGCCCCATGAACTAGGTGAAACAAAAAGGTGAAACGCCGCTGTTCCTAGTGCTAGTCTTCTGTACACTGTATCATCCCTGACCACTCTTAGAAGGCAGCCAGGGGAGCTGGCTATCTACTCAGTGGCGCGGGCAAGGTCGGCAGAAGGGTCGAAGGGCAGAGACCTTCTGCTACTCTATCCGCTGGGCCAATGGCGCTGACGGTTAGCTTTCCCAGGTTGTCACCTGCTTGTTACGAACGTACCTTATCACTCAGAGTGGCTTCTGCACAACTGATCATGAATTCTTCCCACTCTTCTTTCGCTGCATCTGGCTTGGGAAGAGACCGAATCCACGATGGGAGTGTTAATTTGGTACACATCTCAAAGGTGTTGTGCTCCACATAGGTCCCCCTCCAAGTTCCTTTCTTGCCCATTCGGACGAGTTTGCAGAGCTGTGTACAGCCAGCAAAGGCTCGCTTGTTGATGTACAGCAAGGCAGGTGGAGTGTGTATGACTTCTAGTGAGCTACACTTCATGAAGGCTTCTCGCCCAATGCGTCTCAGGGTGTTGGCCAGTTTGAGGCACTGTAGTTGGGTGCAGCTTGCAAAGGCGCCCCCTACGATTTCCTGAATGCCAGTACGGGAGAGGTCCACCGTCTGCAATCTTGTACAGTGTTCAAAGGCAGCTGGTCCTATCCAGCTGAAGTCCGCTGGGAGATCAATCATTTCTAGCCCTGTCCCTAGGAAGCAGCCTTCTGGAATGACCCGATGCGGGTCTCGTGGGTTATATTTAGTTCTTTCCAGGCAAAATGTCTGCGCGGTACAGCATTGCTCGAAAGCTCGGACGTTGAGCCTCGCCTGCGGCGCCAATTGGTTGCTTCTTTGGTCTGGGTCTCCAACCCAGGCCAACGCGTGGCACTCCTCGAAAGCCCAGCAACCGAAGTCAATGCACCCCGGGGCTGTGACTGTGTGGAGCACATAACAACATCGGAAGGCTCCTTCTTGCAGGCATAGCAGTGAACTGGGCAGGTGCACTATGAGAAGCCTAGCGCAATGCTGCCAGGCCGCTTCACCAATGGTGTGTATGCCTGCTTCAACTTGCAGGTGCCTGATATCACTCGAATGTGTGAAAGCGCGGGGGAGCACCTGCCCTGAACGGGTGACAGGTACTCGGAGTGCTTTTGCGTTCTTCCTCATCTGGCCTTTGTGCTCTGCACAATAACTGCATTGGCGGACGACAATTTGGAAGTGGTTACAGTCTCTGAGGGTGTCCCATACCGGACTTCGCAAGAGCTGCCCGGTATCTCGTCGAACAAAAGTGAGTTCGCAATCAAATGCGCTGTTTCCTCCTATGGTCGGGAGTTGCTCCAGGACAGCGGTTTCAAACTCATCAAGCCGATCAAACTCTTGGAGGTCGACAATGACTTGGTATTCTTCTCCTGAGAGAGAAGTTAACTGGAGATGGACCACTAGTTGGCGTTCATTGCTAACTAGTGAGCTCGTTTGCGACTCCATGTCACAGTGCATGGCAGTGTTATTCCCTGCGCCTGTACTAGCTACTGGGGGTTTGAGCCTCGCAGTGCAGAGGGGCAGGACCGACGGGTCTCACCTCACCTTGGGTCTAGGTCGGCCGCGAAAGATGATCCGGGGGAACAGGCAAGGTCGGTGAA